GACTACCAAATGGTGAATTGGTGCTGGCAAACAAAGAAGGATCGGTTTTCCTTGATGGAGGACTGAAACTTAAACATGTTCTATATGTTCCGAAATTGAATTGCAATTTGATTTCAGTATCACAATTGATCGAATGAAGTAAAATGTACAAGTACATTTTACCGATAGATTTTGTGCAATGCAGGACCACACTTCGAGGATGCCGATTGGTGCGGGTGAACGAAAAGAGGGACTCTATTGGTATCGTGGTGTGAGTGGCATAAAGGCGTATCGGACCAATGCGGAAAATCAACTAGAGATTTGACACAAGCGAATGGGACATCCCGCCTACCGCATTGTTAGAAAAATTCCGCATCCGAACAGCGTGAATAGAAATACTGGATACAACTCGTGTGTGTGAAGTGTGTGAGAGATCAAAGCAATGCGAAACACATTTCCTTTAAGTGATTTTCAAGCATCCAATATATTTGATTTAATACATTGTGATGTATGGGGTCCATATAGAACTCCCTCGTCTTGTGGTGCATCTTACTTTCTCACTTTGGTTGATGACTGTTCTCGAGCCGTGTGGATATATCTCTTGAATAATAAGAAAGATGTGTCACAAACCTTAATGCATTTCATCACCTTAATAGAACGACAATACGAGAAACAAGTCAAAATATTACGAAGTGACAATGGAACTGAGTTTATGTGTCTTCAACGATATTTTCAAGCAACATGGGATACTCCATCAAACCTCATGCACTCGGAACACCTCAGCAAAATGGTAGAGCCGAACGAAAACATCGACACATCCTAAATGTAGCTCGTGCTCTACGATTTCGGGGAGAACTTCCACTTCAATTCGGGGAGAATGCATTTTGACCGCAGGATACTTGATCAATCGTACACCCTCAACCGTTCTCCATGGAAAAACTCCATATGAAATATTGAATGGGAAGCCACCCACTTATGACCATCTACGGGTATTTGGATGCTTGTGTTATGCACATAACCAAGATAGGAAAGGTGACAAATTTGCAAGTAGAAGTCGCAAGAATGTATTTGTTGGATATTCAATCGAAAAAAAGGGCTGGAAATTGTTTGATCTCGGAAAGAGAAGTCTTCCGGACTTCGAGAGATGTTAAGTTTGTAGAACATGAATTCCCGTTTGCCTCTCTTGCCCACAGTAGACATTCGGAGGTAGGATTGCCTACTCGTTGATGTTGGCATTGTCGAGGAAGCATTGCCTGGACTTGGTGCAATGAACAATGCGTAACACGTTGTGGAGACCGATGACGTTAACCCCACAACGAAGATGTGCCCACAACCGAGTTCGGGGAGGGCCACGCCGAATGCCATGAACAAGAGCCTCCCACCCGGATCGTTCTCCCACCGTAACAAACCGACTCTATGATGACAGAACTAGAGGTTCCCGAGGAGCATACTGTCCCCGCATCCTTGGGGAAATGTCTTCGTGTACGAAAGCCATCTCGTGAAGCTTTGTGATTATGTCACTAACACCACTTTACAACTCGGTCCCTCAATTCGCACTCCACATTCAGACTTCCTCGGGTATGCCTTACAGTTTGACAAAGTACTTAAATTGTGCTAAATTCTCCTTCCCCCACCGAACCTTTCTTGCAGCCCTTCATGCGAGAGAGAGAACTCGTGCATTTCTTTGAAGCCGTTCGGGATGTTAGATGGAGAGATGCCATGGCTAGTGAAATTCGGGCCCTCCAAAGTAATGAAACATGGGACATTACTCCTCTACCGGCAGGGAAGAAGCCTCCGGGTTGCAAGTGGATTTATAAAATCAAATATCATTCTGATGGGAGCGTTGAACGCTTCAAAGCCCGATTAGTTGTCTTGGGAAATCACCAAGTTGAGGGGATTGACTATGACGAGACTTTTGCCCCAAGTGGCAAAGATGGTCACCATTCGGACGAGTGTTGGCAAGTGGCAGTAGCCAAAGACTGGGAACTTCATCAAATGGATGTCCATAATGCTTTTCTGCACGGCGATCTTGAGGAAGATGTGTACATGAAAATGCCGCCGGGGTTCTTGGTGTCTCAAAAGGGTATGGTGTGTCGTCTCCGCAAGTCCCTTTATGGTCTTCGTCAAGCTCCTCGGTGTTGGTTTGCCAAGCTCTCAACCGCTCTTGTTCAATATGGGTTTCAACGTTCTTCGTCCGATCACTCCTTGTTCATCTTTCGCAAAGGAGATGTCGAACTGGTTGTGTTAGTTTACGTGGATGACCTAGTCATTGTCGGCAATCATCATGAAGACATTGCGCAATTCAAAGATTATCTTCATCAATGTTTTCGTATGAAGGACTTAGGGAAATTAAAATACTTTCTTGGGGTGGAGGTTGCCGGATCTCCTACAGGAATTTTCTTGTGTCAACGGAAGTATGCGTTGGACATCATAGCTGAAGCGGGATTGCTTGGAGGGAAACTCGTGTCCACGCCAATCGAAGAAAATCATCGTTTAGCATTGGCCGATGGCGAACTACTTTCCGACCCGAGTCAATATCGACGTCTCGTCTGGCCGCCTTATTTACTTGTGTTTTACACGACCTGAATTATCTTACGGTGTTCATGTCCTATCTCAATTCATGCACCAACCGCGTCAGGAGCATTGGCGGGCTGCACTCCGCGTGGTACGCTATTTAAAGGGCAGCCCAGGTCGGGGTGTGCTTTTAAAAAGAGAGAGTGACCTTCGTCTTTATGGTTGGTGTGACTCGGATCGGGCAAGTTGTCCTCTAACTCGAAGATCTCTCACCGGTTGGTTTATTTTCCTTGGTCAATCCCCCGTTTCTCGGAAAACCAAGAAGCAACATACGGTTTCTCGATCATCCGTCGAGGCGTAATATCGTTCTATGGCCAACACGACATGTGAGTTGAAATGGCTTCAAGGCCTTCTTTCGAGCCTAGGCATTACTCACACCGACCCTATGACTCTCTATCGTGACAACCAAGCCGCCCTTCACATTGCCAAGAATCCCGTGTTTCATGAACGGACAAAACATATTGAAGTGGATTGTCATCTTATTCGTGATGAAATACAACACAATCATATCCAACCCTCCTATGTGTCCACTCATCATCAACTGGCTGATCTCTTCACCAAATCTCTTGGCGCCACTAAATTTGGTTCTTTTTTAGGCAAGTTGGGCATTCACAACCTTCATACTCCATCTTGAGGGAGGGTGATAAACATAGAATATACGATTACAAATACCGTATCATGCCATGATTCTACATGATTAATTTTTTCCATATTTAGCTTGGCATGACAGATGATGCACGATGATGCACATTAATGTCATATCTGTTAATAGACAAATTTAGGATACCGACTATAATGGTTAGCGTAATTATAGCCTAGAATGTTTCTGTATTTCATGTATATATTGTGCTATCATATTCAATACAAGACAGGGGTTTTTGGAAATATTTTTATCAGGTTGTTATTAGAATATCATGAACTCGTCGTCTGTTCATAAGTTATGTTTTATAGTTTTAATTTATACTTTTTTTTTATTTTATACTATAAAATTAATTAATTTTTTTATCTTATATAAAAAATGTTAACGGATGCAATTTTTTCTCACCTAAAGTAAAATCCCCCTTCTACACCAGGTATTATCGTTCTGCATTATGAAAACGAACATGCATGCCCTTACAAAACCGTTTCTGTAGTATTTTACTTGTACTTTGATTAAAAATCCCCTACATATAATACATACGAGATACCTGATTGTTGAATATTATAGAGCAAGTAGGAACCCTGATGTTTTATGGTCTTATATATTCATGGTGCGTGCCCTTGAATTGCATGAAAGATTCCTTCGTCTTTCCGTCAAAGGCTGCACAACAAATCACACACTGCCCACTTCACAAACTTTCAGTTCCGATGGTGTGGCTGCAGTTGTCCCCTTCTCCCAATGTAAATAAAATATCAGTAAAAGTTTATACCAAACATATGCAGTTCACGCCCACGCTTAAAATAACTACTCTCTCCTTTCGAAAACAACAGGTTTTAAACTTTTTAATATACTAATGCATGTAATTTTCTTTATTAATTGTTCTAAATTATATTTATGAGTATTTTTGAAAAAAAAGAATTATTGTTTTCAGAAAGAACAAAAAAACAAATGTTGTTTTGAAATCGGAATAATTTATGGTATATTCCAATTCGCCATTATTATTGAATAAAAAGCCGACATCATTCATGCACTCCCCATGTTGGAATGTTCAAAGTACACTTTTCCAGTTGTGCTTGGTGTTAATGATATCAACTTCATAACAACTTGCGATGGTTATAAAATCACTTCATTGTCCAAGAAAAATAATTGTTTTCTAATAGTAATATATACATTATAAGTACCTACAAAGAGAACAGTGCAAAGCCACTTTGCGAATTTGCATGTATCATGCATGCAAATTGATGGAGGACAGATTATACTAGGGTTTAGGGTGGGGTATATTGGAAGGCAACACTGTAAGAATATTTGTCATCAACAACTGCTCGGTAAAAATATTATTGGTAATTTATACTAATTGTAATTATTAAGCATTCCCCCCACGGAACTTAATTTAAGATTTTGCTCAGGTTGATTCCAATTGGATTTTACCTACATCAAGTAGTCAATTTGAATGGTGTACGAGAAGTATTAAAAAATTTATGTAAAGTAATAAGTGTTCGTTGGAAAGGTATGTGCCTGCCTGCGCACTTCTTCCAAGATAGAGTATTAAAAGCTTAAAGAGTTATTATTAGTGTTATTACTTCTAAACCTAGTAGTTCAGTGGCATGTAGGACCCACCCTGAGCCCTATAAAAAGTCACCATGGGGATTCTTTCTACACATCTCAACTGCTAGATTCCTGCATCGTAGCTGAAGTCTAGGCACATTCCTCATTATTTCTTCCTAAGAAAATCTTTGGTTCTTGTTTGCTACTTCAGCAATCTAACTAATCTCCTTTCTTTTCAAAGTTTATTTGTCACCAAATATACATGGCACAAAACAAATTCATTTTCTCTATGATTTTCTTTGCACTGATCATTTTCTGCCACCGATTTCATTCCACTGAAGGAAGATATCTAAAACATAACCAAAGCCATAATGACGTGCATGGTGGGATTTCAGCTACGAATGCAGCTACATTGAAAAACGAGGCTCCACTAACGCCATCAACAATGGCTGGTGCAACTCTGGCGGCACCGCCTCCAGGTCGTGATGTTGAGGATTTTAGACCTACGACTCCAGGACACAGCCCTGGTGTAGGACACTCCGTTCACAACTAGCTTCCACGTGCAGGTGTCATTAACTACGTGCCCGGCATTCTTTAATTATTCATTATATGTGTCTTATTAGAAACAAGTTGAACAACATAAATGAGTGGTAATAGTCAGTGTAGTCATTACTTTTGCAGTGTGCTCAGATTTGTCTCAGATTAAATTCGTGTAGGAAGGTTCTAGTATTGATTCGTTTGATGTTTTATATTATTTGTACTTATGATGTTCTAATTAATGTCCTGAGTTATATTAGGTTATTCATCTGGTTTTATTTGATAAACCAGTTCTTATAACCTGTGAGATTCGTTCTTTGATTTATTAGAATTTATATTTCGATGGTACAAATGGCAGAATAAGAAGAAAGAAATACAAAACATGAATAAAAAAAAAAGTTATGATAAATTTTAATGAGAAACATATATGCATGAAGTGATGCACACATAACAATTTATATATAAAAAAAAGTATACAATCGGTAATAAATAATAGCGATTCAAGCACACCAAAATATAAAATTGGCTGTTTTCAAGGTTTAAGTAAGAAAAAAAAAACAAAGTGTTAAGTATCACCAGCGATTGAAGAAGTTGCCTTATACACTTTCTATAGTCACTGTAGAATTAGATTTGTAAAAATATTTACTCCATATGTCTCAATAAAAACAATGCATGTATCTAAACAAAAAAGTTATTTTTAACAAATTATTTTAAAAAATATTAATTGTTATTATTATTTTAGGTGAAAAAACCTTAAACTATATGGGGACACTAGCTACAATTCATTAATGTAAAATAAAATTTTACAACCACTTATATATTATGATGGTATTTAATAACAAACAATTCTATAAATTAAAATAATCTTACTATATAATCATAAGTTAAACTGGCATAATGATAAGAATTTACTATGATAAAAAAAATTGACCCCCATCATATAATAGGTATTTTTTATTGAGCTGGACATTATTTGAAGTTTGTAAGATTACAAACTGATGTGACGCCACCTTTCACATCCACCTTGTATTTGCCGCCGAAAGTCCTAACCATCCTGAAACATTAACACACAACACGTCAAAAGAAATTATAGAAGGGAGAAGGAGAAAACAAAATAAAAAGCGATTGGCGAAAAAAGAATAGGGAAGGGGAAGAGATTTTTCAAAATGAAAAAGGAAGAAGAATGTTAGTGTGATGCTTTGTGTTTCCAATATTTGGTTTGACTGTGACGAATGCTACGGTTGATGTTAATATAAGTTGTTACGACTAAGTATATTTATCTTTTAAATTAAAAAATGAAAAATATTTTGATAATAGACATACAAACTCTGATGTGATATGATTTTATTTTTAAAGTAGGTTTTATTTAATTAAGAAGGAATTATATTTATAAATTATTTTTAATTTTAATTTTTAAATGATGTAAAATTTAATTATCATTAAAAAATTTATTTTTAACCTCACAAAGATATTAATATTTTATATTTTATTATCTATTTATAAGTTTTATATTAACTTATAAGTTAAGAATAAAGATAATTTATATATATTTTTTATTTTTTTAATAAAGTATTTTCTTAAAGATAAAATTATAATAATTTAAAATTTTAAAATAAATAATACTTTAAATATAACAATTTATTTTAATAATAATAATAATATTATTATTATTATTTTTATTATTATTATATTTTTATTACTAAATGAAAAATAAAATTTTGATGGAGTTGAATTTTAAAACGAATAATAATTACGATTAAATCTAACAAAGTTATTATTTCGGTGTATATATATATATATATATATATATATATATATATATATATATATATATATTTTTTTTTTAAAGTATGAAGTTTTTTTGTTCCACTATCGTTAAATAATTTAACACACTTTTCTCAAAATAATTCACTGCACATAATGTTTAAGAACGTAAAATAAATATTATAATAGCATAAAACAACCATAGCCTAATGTTTGTATTAGATTCTCACTATTTCAGTAACGAGGAAAAGATCTTATCTACATTTATGACACAATCTAGACGTATATCCTTTTTTTTATGCGATACGATTGAGAAATTGTATTGATTAATCGTTTTTTTCTAGAAGAAAGAAAATGTCGAACATTGGTAACAAGTGTCTCTTTAGTAACAGAGTAATTAATGAGTTTTGTCTATCAAAAAGTATAACAATGTATTGACTGTGATTTTTATTGTAATTTGAACTTAAGAAGTTTATTTAGTGATCCCTTAATGCAAGGAGGAGCAGTATCCTTATTAAAATAATCAAACCCATTAAACAATACTATTATATTTATTTATTTATTTCAGCTTTATTCTCCGTACCCTAACTAATTTTGTAGGTAGAGAGTCAGATGTGAGGGTTCCCAAAACCTAGGAGCCAACCAGTCCGAAGATTCTCCATTTCCACCTCCAACATTATTTATTTACAAATAAATACTTCTAAAAAGTAGTATTTGGAAATAAGGGTCATTTTTTTTTCTTTTTTTACGACGGTTTCATAAATAATAATAATAATAATAATATAATAAATAATATTATTATATTAATGTATTTAGATGTTGAACAAGATGTATTTAATAATTATAATATTTATTTTACGTTCTTAAAAATTATAGAAAAAAGATATTAAAAATCTTAAATCTTAGACAACGTTATAAGGCTCAAAAAAAAAATTAAGTTTACTATGGTAGCTCCATATGTTTACCGGAGATGCTCCATGTTTTCTGAAAAAGAAGTTTCTATATTTACGCCACTTCCACCGGGAAGGAGCTCATATATGCAACTTAATATTATAGATATTATTGTCCTCCAATCAAATTTGACATTTTATTATTCGGTAATTATTGTCTACTTCTCCATAGATAAAATCGACAATTATTGTTAAAATGAAATGTCTAGTTTTATTGGAAATCAAGGTTTTTATATAAATTATCTTGTTCATAAAGTGTATACCATAAGTGGAGCACATAGTTTATTGAGCATATACATTAATACTACACAAATTCACGGTTGTGAATAAAATAACTATTTCATGTTTTTTAATTTAAAATCATTTTTAAAAGAAGTCTAGCTAGGCTATGAAACATTAATTATTGCTCAAGATCGCAAAAATAGTTGATTATCTTTTCTTGCGCGCTAAGTATAGTTGTTGAATTGTATGAGTTCTAAATGAAACAGAAACGATAGATATATAGCATTGTAACGCACTAAGCTAAAGCAAGTGTAACACTGTGGATTGTTTGGAGGTGATAATATGATATGAATATATATAGATATAGAGTTATATGTTTGGATGTTGAATACAGGTACATTAAAGAGCAGTTTCAAGTCACATTGTGATTGGGTCACAGCAGAAGGTAGCTTGAAGATCAATTTCTTGGTCTCTCCCCAGTCAAATGGACTATAAATGCAGCGCACCAATTCTGGGGAGTCAAACAAAAATACGACTATACGTGAAGCCTACAAGAATCTTTCTCTTTCTTTATCATCTTTGAACCTACGGCTGCACAATCACGCAACCTGGTTTGAAAGTTAGTGTCCCATAAACAACAGAGAGGATACCATAAACATATTTCTGAGATTGAACAGAGGCCATTCACTTGCACTATAATTATTAATTAATTAATAGTACAAGTCTCTAAGTGGAGGAAGGAGGGGAAACCCCATATCTTTCTGCAGGGTCCATTTTGATTGTGGGCGAGTTTATCAATTGTTCTTTATTGGTTGCTCACACTTCTTTAATTCATTCTTGTTTGCGATAAAAAGAAAAAAAATCTGGGACTGTCAATCGACCCTGTCGAAAACCTTCAAATTTTATAACAGATACCATATTTGCTTGTAACGCTTGGACACGATGAAAGGTCACAGAAATATAATATCAGTTTCACACACTCTTGGGCAGTGGTTAGGTTTGTATTTTTTTTTTCATAAACCATAAACCTAAAACTCCTAAATCCTGGATTCAATAATCAAATCATAACTAACTGTTTATTAACTTCATTTTGATGGCTAATTTGTTCCAAGTTTAATCAAAATAATTTTGTTAGTTAACACTGTGCGTTGTTTGTCTATTTTCCTTACGAAAAACCAAAGAGAAAAACACGAAAGTAACGAGGACCACACCAATCTCAAATTCTCCGTCTGTAGAAATGTTGGCGATGTATCAAACAGAATACGGAAGAGAAAGATTTCATGGCAAAGTGTGACGTTGAGGGTTTGATCCTTGTAATGTCTTGCAATGTCTTGTATGCCTTGATATGCAACTCTACTTTATGTTTTACTTAGTAAGGATTAAATATATTTCATAGAATCATATGTTCAACGTATGTTAAGATGAAATGGAAAAATCTTATACTCCATCCGAGTATTTGATTTATCTTTTGCATGAAAAAAGTTGTCCAAAATTGAATTTTCATTATATGTTTGGGATAGTTGTCTTAGTTTATTATGTTTCGTGGCAAGTTTTGAAGGTTTGGAACTAGGTTTTTTGTTATGTTCACAATCCATTAGTTGTTTGACATGCATTTCTTTTGTAAATTATAGAACATTAGAATATTCGTTGTGTCAAAACGTTATTCTATTGTATAATATATCAATCAAATTCAGTCATTTACGTTTTAAAAATACCGTCGATAATAACGAATTTATGTTAGTAACCAAACTTTTTTGATGAATTTTCGACGGTAAAAAATCTACGGGTAAAATGATATTGAGACTCCAATCTCAAATTTCTCCTGTTATAAAAAAAAATGGTTCACATCTGTCTCTTTGGATCTTTCATTAACAAGTTGATCAATACTCTTCTCTGTATATGTTTTGGAGGATCTCATGAACAAACATGGATTGTCCAAGCTCTTGTGTCTGCAAGACATTTTAATGAAAATTGTTTTATACAATTTTAAACTAGTACAATATAAAAACATTCATGTCGGTTTTTCCAATATACTGAGGCTTCGCCCCTGCAATTCTGACTCCTCTAAACACTTAGAAAATCTGTAAAATATTTTAGTGTTGAAATTTTTCTCCACTTATTCCTCATTGGTCTGGGAAATTTTACCCACTTACGAGAAGAAATTTAGGAATAAAAAAAAAATTCTACCCACTTATCAGAATCTAGCCTGAGAAGTTGAGAGTTTGGGATCACGAGTTGTTAAATGTCTACTGTACAAGTTTTACTAAGTAATCTAATAAGCCATGGCTAATTCTGAGCATATGGTTGGTCTCTTAGGGTTGTTTAAGCTAAAATATTTTGACATTTAGATGTTGACTATCGGTTCATTAAAATAATAGTTATCGTCGTATATATATATTTTTTTAAATAGTTTTAATGATGACGGTAACAACAATTTCAACGACGATCATACTATTAATTCTAACGGCTATCCATAATACATATTTTTAGAACAAAAATAAATAATTACAATAGAAGTTAAAGATAGCTTATCTTTATTCAAAGTGAATGGAGACGTTCAGAGAACGAAGATAATGAGAAAATGAGAAGAAAAGATGTGTGACGCGCACAAAACAGTAGACACAATGACAAGACTCAGAGAGGATGAAAGATAAAGTGTTAAAAAAATATGAAGAGAAGAGGAGAGATTAAAAAAGGTGGTGAAAATGAGATACAACCATATGGGGAGAATAATCATTGTAAGAGATAAAGTAAAAAAAAAATGATAATTATATATGATTATAATGATAATTATTTATAAGAATCATAGTAAAAAATAAGACTTAAAAAAATTATTATTGTATAATATACGTCAACAATTATTTTTAAAATCATTTTCATTTCTAGTATATAGATAGAATGCTGATTATTTTGTGTTGAGGGACAATTAAGAGCTTGAGCGTGATAAAATATTAAAGGACATTATTGAAAAGGTAACTTTATCTCAATAAAAAAAATGAAAAGAGAAGAGGGTTTTCATTATGAATTAGTTTTAAGTAAGAAACAAGAAACCAAAATCAAAAGTAAAGACAGAGATAAAAATAGAAAAGACGTATAAATTAAAGAAAACCTTGTCATTAAAAGCTATTTTGGGTTTATTCATGAATTGTTCCCACCAAACTACTTACTGTCATTATCCTATCTAATTGTTTGTCGACCTAATCCCTTCTAGTCTTTGCATCGTCATTTCCCACCTCACTTCCTTCTCCAATTCTTGGTTTCCCTCGCTCTCGACGTATTTTCTCATTCTCTAGCTCTCGCTGGAATGCCTCCTCAGTATTCCTCAGTATTCTTGGTCATTGGAAAACTTGTAGGAAAATCACTTGAAACAAACAAAACATTCACTGGGAAGGCTTTGAGTGTTGAGACAATGTCAAAAAAACCATCAGGCCCAAGCTCGCCTCCTAGAAAGTAAATAGTGAATAAAATAAATTCAGTGAGGTAAAACATTAATATTTTCAAAAGCCGAACAAATGGGTATAAACACATGAAAATTAGAAAATTGAGTTTTACACGTACAAAACAACTAGAGACGTAGGCAATAATAGAAATATGGCGTGGTGGTGGTGGTGATGGTGTCCTTTCATTTTGCCAATCACGATATTTGAATCCCATGACTGGATGTGAAAAAAATATTACACATTTATTATATTCTAATATACTTATTACAGAAGACACATTGAATATATTTTGAGTTTAGTACTCAATAAATTTTTTGGTTTCTATTGAATACTTGAATATTTGCTAGACGAATTTGATAGTTAACTCAGTTTATTTCTATACGTTCATGAACACAAAAGACACATGTTGGCCCGCATGAGAAAGTGGGAGCCACGAAATCAAAAGCCATTTGTCATGTATATACCGTCCACAATTGAATGCAGTATGCACTCCGCATTTTAGTCAAATCAAATGACATGAGCAGTTACCTAGAATTTCTCAAAAGTGCATGGACATATACGCTACAACGTTATAAATACCTGAGGATCTTAGACAAATGCCATCACCCATCGGATCTGCTTCTAAGCATCTGAGCTAGCCAGCTAAAAAACCTTGTTTGTAAAGAAAAAAAAATCCCTATACCCTTTTGCTTTTATGGTGATCATGGGTAAATTTCAATATTTTGCTGTTTTTGTTGCACTTGCTACTTGCCATAATTTTCTACCGAGTCATGCATGGCAAGGAAATAAAGGCAACGAACCAGCATTCCCCGCTAAGCAAACTTACAGAGTGGCGGAGAAGAGTCCCCAACCTCTTAAAGCCAGTGTTAGTAATGTTCCTGCTCCAACATCAGAGAAGAAAGAAGACTCCACAGTCACACCTAAGAATGGTGTTGGGAGTTTTGGGTATTCAGTTGCAGCTTACACAAATGCTTTCCGACCCACAACACCAGGGAACAGTCCTGGCGTAGGTCACCGAAAATTTGCACCAGAAGATAAAGATATGAAAGCAAAGGAGGTAGTTCACAGTCCTAATGTTAAATATGTTACTGAGGGGACAACAAATGGTTTCAAACCCACAAACCCTGGTCACAGTCCTGGTGTTGGTCATTCTCAGCAAAATTAACAAATATGCACACCTGAATTAGTACGTAAACAAGATATTTCACATATAAATTTATATATATGTGTGTGTGTGTGTGTTTGATTCTGCACAGAAGAGACTCTTTAATAATTCTTGCATGTCAAACCATGCACCTACAAGGCGAGGACTTGGCTTTAACCTATTAGTTATTATGGTCAGTAGTGTTTTCTGTGGAAGTGACCAACTGGTCTTAATGTTTTCTCAATTTACAATTAAAATGTCAGCCTTTGTGCATTTTGTAATTGTGCTTTATGTGGTTGCAAAATAAATAAATAAAGATATTATTCAATACAAATTATAAAGCAAATTAGCATATACGCTAATTCGCACGTACATACCTTAAAAATCTGATTGCATAGAACTTGCTGCTATATGTTCGTGTCATCCCTAGGGTCTAATTCTAGAGTTGAGAGGGTGGTGTCACGGGATTGAGTGGTTGAGACATTCAGGTAATTTATTTGTTGTCTATAATATATTGACTTGACACAGTGAAATTTTCAAATGAGCATGAGAAATTTATCAGATTTTGATTTGATCGAACTGCGATAAAACATTGATACACTTTTCTCTCTTCCTAAACTCGATTATTTACTTATATGTTTATATGGACTCTAACTACGTTTGAGTTTTGAATTAACACTCGTCATCATAAAATTGTATTCTTGAAAAATAAATATTGAGCGTGAAAATTCTTTTTAGAAAGACTTAGTTCACCTCCTCTTAACACCACTTTGTTAACAGTAAACCTATAAAATGATCAACTAATTATAAAATCATTTTAACTCAGTTACAGATTTTGTTACAAAAACATCCGGCCGGTGTGTTTTTATTTACTTATGTTATATGATTTTTTGGGTCACTTATGAAGAAATCCATTAGATTTCATATTTATATAAATATTTGAACATGTCATTTTTTCATCACATTAAAATAAATGTGTTAAAAACACGCAATCTCGCTTCTTCCCCTAAAGAAATTTTATCGCGATTTTTGTCTGAATTTAAAAAATTAATATCACAAATTTTATTCCATGTAGAAGACAACCACCACAAAGTAAGAATGATTGCAATTTTTTTGCATAATGGGGAGGAATTGGCAGAAAAAAAATTTGGGAGAAAAAATAACGAGAATTGCAAAACTTTAGGGAGATTTAATGATTTAATTTTTATATCCAAGAAACATACGTACTCATGTAATATATACATGATACTTTCAAATTTTATTTAACCTTCATTGTGAAATAAAATAAATAATTTGTGAGAAAATATCAATAAGGCTTCATTAGATCAATAATGAGGTAAATAATGATTAACTTTAACGACCATGGACTATGTTAATGCTAGCATGTGCTCTAGTCTACCTCACAAAGATACTCCCTAGTTTAGATTTATTTATACAATTCATCTCTTTCTTTAATGCTAAGGATTATATTTTACAAAGTAATATTTTCTTAATTCTTAATATGCTTCAAGTTTTTCAATGTTATTGATATATTCATCTTTCCTTTGCAATAGTAGTGTAGGCGGTAGCCATTTTAGGCAGAGAAAGCTGCAGTATATTTTGTTAGCTGGTGCCAATGAGTCATGTAGGAAGTTTGTAATATTATTCTGGTACAACTTGTACCTTATCAAATTTATTACTTGTTGGTACGGAGAATTTAGAGGAGAAAAAATAATATCAATAACTTGAATTTATCATACAGAGATATTAATTTTATTTTTAACCAAAAATCTTAAGATATTAATATATGAAACTTTTTTATATATTTTTCATCTTCCTTATTTTTACATAGGACTTAAAATCATATTTGAATTTTCCAATCATTGATGAAAAAAAAAAAACTAAAACTACTTTCTACAACCACCTTTTGAATACTATTTCCCTTTGTATATTATCTTTGGTTTTGTGATTTCTGTTGTTTTTAGTCTTCACCACGGTGAGTGGTGTGACACTTTACTATATAATTAATGCTATTGCGTAACCAATTATATATTAATATCATTATAAGGAATATTTATAAAGATGATGTCAGATATGTGACGAGTTATCCTCGAAAGTTAAAAATCATTAGAATTAATTTAAACTTGAACCATTTTTCATTGGTGGAAAGGAACTATAATGTTTTAGGATATGAAGGTTTTCTAGGGTTATTTTCTTACGGAAGCTATTATATCCAAGAATCAATTCGGCGTTGAGGAAAAGGAAGTAGAACAAATGCGTTGTTATGATTGTTTTTCAAATTCTACTTCCAAAAGATCATGCCATACTACATGGATGAAACATTCATTGGGAATAAGAATCAAAGTGGAGCATGAGGGTTCTTGTTCTTGTTATCAAGGTTTATTTTCCTTGCTATATACGTAAAACCATTTTGGAAGTATATTCTCACTAATACATATACCTACATGGACTAAACTAGCTTATACACTTATTGAAACTAGAATTTATAAGGATTTCAAGCTTTGGAAATCGGTGGTTTGAATTTAGAAGATGCAGGATGTGACAATGGAGATGATAACGAAGTTGAATATAGTGAAGAGGAAGTAAGCTTGAAGCACAAGACAAAGAAGCTCCAAAGGTTGCTTGTGAAGGTGAGTGAGTAGCAACAACTGAAAGAGACACCTTGAGGCCTTAAAAGCACAAACAAGTAGGACCCTCCACATGCGGTGAAACGATCGACTCAAAATAATGTTATCGTATTTTGTGAGTTTTAGCATAGAGAAACCGTACTAATTTTTTTCTCACCTCACACTCGCTCACACAACCCAAGATCAATAAGCTTTGAAGTGTTTGAATATGAGTTTTTTCTTTTTGCGCTATGTTCAAATGCTATTTTAAAAAAGAAATGCAACAATATGCCAAGTTGATTTGTGTTATTTTATCAACTTATTTAAATTGATTTGTGAGGACTGAAAAATTATAATATTTTTTTCGTAAGATGAGAAAAAATTAACAAAAGTCACTGTCTTATATCATTATTATTATTTTCAGTTTCAATTTAAGAAGTAATACAATTATTAATTCATTCAATTTCAATTCACACACAGTTCCTTCTATTTTATTATTGAAGTAGTATCCTTCAATTTATGATACATACTATAATTTATTAATAATCGATAACGTATATTTTTTATTTTGTATTTTATAATAATAATAATAATAATAATAATAAATCATTAAAATAATAAATAATAATAAAATCATTTTATTTCTTACTCCACTCAATTTTTTTCAAATTTTTAATAGTTTCTAAATATATAATTATAGTTTTAATTATTTTAAATTTTCTAATATATAATATCTAAATCATTTTTAAACAATTTTTAACTTTAAAATAAGTTATTAGTATTTTAATATTTTTAACTTTAGTTTTTTCAATTGATATATAAAACAAAATTTATACATGACCTGTAATTAGTTATTTAAATAATATAAAATTTGTTTTTAAATAATTATTTAATATCATTTTAAATTTTAAAAATAATTACTTCATATTTATCCACTTTTATTTTTAATTTATATTTACTCTTATTAAATTCCAATAAAAAAATAATTTAATAATTTGTTAAATTATACAATTAATCTATTTTATACTTTTTAAATCAATAAATTTAATCCACATTTTTCTTACTTTCCATTCTTTTTTTCTCTTATTCTCCAATTTATTTCTCTTATTTTCTTTTTCTTTTTCTTTTTTACTATCTAAAATTCATCATCAATTATACAAAAGCTTAGAATGAGTTGTGACTTATGATAAAGAAAAGAATTATTTAGAATATTTTATATGAAATAGAGAAATTCAAACTCGTAGGTTAAGCCTATGTTATACTAGCATGGTGTGAAGATCAGCTAAATTGTTGAAACAATTTTTCATTTTTTGGGTAGTAAGTATTGGTATGTATTACATTCAAAAGCTCTTATATCCTTTATTTCTTTTCAATTTGAAACCCGTCGAAATTGCCCTTTCTCTACTTTTAATATTTTCTTCTCAAATTCTTTCCTTCCTTTTTCTGTTAAAAAAGAGAATATTACGAAGCCTGATTTTGTTTAATGTCAAACTAAAAATAATTAAGAAAAAAAAAATGTAGAAAAGTAAAAGTACAAGCTGTATTTCTGAACGGAAAAGGTTCATGTGGTAATTTGGTTCAGCCGCAAATCTTAGAGTGAATCCTCGAGATCCTAAGTTGTAGCCTAGGCCATGAGCTAGATTCCTTATTGTTTGGGGGCATGTTGAAGACAAGAGGAATCAAAAGCCCGACAACGTGGAGATGATCGAAAGAGTCAAATCCGCCACCATGTGCAACACTGGTTTCAAGTCAGTGTTTGCGTAGTTGCTGTTGAGACACTATGCAAGTTGCACAACAGAGCTTCCTCTGCGTTTCAATTTAAAACTGCGAATATTCTAAGACCAATTCTTTCCATTCTAATTTTTTATCAACTGAACACACAAGACACTGCCACGGAGATTTAGTATCAATATACAAGTGGTAACCTCATGCACGTGCTAAATTTGCTTTTTCATTTTCCTATTTATAAAGGACTAAACTCTAAATTTTAAGACGTGGGTACACACTATCACACCACCACTACCTACACTACCTCGTGCATAAGCTTTGTTTGAAAGTTTCAAGTGTTCAAGTAACATGTTCATGTACTTTGGTTTTGAAAAACTAACGTATATTTTTAATGAAAGGTACATGTTTAAATCTACAATTAAATTAATTTGCTCACATATTTGAATTACGTTCAACATTGCTTGTGTCAAAAAATCAATTTTACTTTAACACAATAAAGAAAATTGTATTTTCAAATGCACTTGTAATATTCTACATTTCGTTTCATATGCAAATCAATCAACCTCAAAATCGAATTACATATTTATCATTTCCAGTAGATGCTAAAGTTTCATAATGTTGACCACATCTTTGTTATCAATTTCATTATTAATTGTCTTTAGGTAAAAAAAAAAATGAATTTGACATTTTTTTAATCGAAAATAATTCTAAAAATGAGCCTTCATAATATTATTTAACGCTATACTTAATTTGTAATAAATATGTATTTTACTTAACCGATCTTTTAATTTTATAATTTAGTAAAACTGATTCTTTTATTTTTATTAACAAATCTAGACACTTAGGTTGTTAAGTAGTACATTCTCTAATTTTTTTGTAACGTACAAATTATTTTAAATGTAAATTAAAAATAGGTTTTAAATCTAAAGATAAATATGTACTCATTTTTATTTTTAAAACTTGCTTTGAACTTAAAGTGCCTTGAATTTTTTGTTTTTAGTCCTGGAAATTTTTAAAATGAAAAGAAAAGAAAAATAGAAACTAATTAAAAACATTTAAAACCAACTTTTCACTATTTTTTCAATTTTTCTTTATTTAAAATAATTCACTTTCAAAAACAGTCCAAAACACCTTTATATCTCATGGTTGTAGTTATATTTTTTTAATTGCATGCGTACTTTCAATTGTACAATGATTGACAGCATAGAAACAAAATAAAAGGGATAAAATATTTGAAGTATACCATTCAAATACTTGCTAGAAAGTAGAAAAAAAAATATTATGAAATTAATTCTAATTATCATGTTATTGGTACGAATTTCTCACCAATTTTATCGATGGATAATCTTCAACAAAAAAAAAAACTTACTGATTTATTTTCCAAAAAAATTCATCTCAATCATATTTTTTCCATCTTAAAACGAAAACTCAAAACCTTATAATAACATAAACGTTTTTAATTAAGAATTCCACTTCCAACAATTCAACTTTGTCAATATCCGATGGTAGCCCATAACTCCATTATACTATCCTACTCTTTCTCATTTCTCCCCTACAACTGTCGTAAGTATTTATTCTTCAATTATTCATTCTTATAATATTTTCTATTTTTTTTATTATAATATCTTCTGTTATATTTTTCTTTCTCCCCTTTTATCTTCTTTTTTATTTACATTTTTACTTTCTATATCTCCTAATTATGAAACAATTATATATATATATATATATATATATATATATATATATATATATATATATAAGCTGTTAGTAGAAAATCGATACAAGGATCGAGAGACAAAAGGGAAAAATCGAAGATCGCATGAGTGGTGGGGAGACACCTGGTGACCACAAAAATAAAAGCACATCGAGAATCAAAATCGAGAATCGAAGAAAGAATATTCGATGTCTATTGTTGAAGAGAATCGAGAAAATTAGTGTAATGTTAAAGAGAATCGAAATAATTCAAAACATTCGATGTCTGAAATCGAGATCGAGGGAACGGTTAACGCGCACATAGAACATGGGAAGCGGTTTCTAAACCGTGACAAAGGTCGAAGATCAAGGGAGCGATTATCTCATGCATGGGAACGTGAAAGACAGTTTTTAAACCAGTAGAACTAAGGGACGTGCATGTTGGATCGTGGTGGCGGTTTTTGTTAATCGCTCTCGAAAGGTTATATGGAAGGAGACCTATAAATAGGACGAAGCATGAAGAAGAAGGGGAAATTGGCGAGACGACGAAGCGCAAGTGAACGAGTCTATAGGAGAACGACGCATCATGAAGTTTCTAATGCTCTGGATTTCCGTTTTCATTGATTATCTTTACCGCTTTCTCTACTTTCCCTGGTAATTTATGTTTATGTAATTTACTTTGATGCAGTTTACATTTAGCAACTTTAAGTTTTGGCACTTTCGATTCCTTGTCATTTATTTTTATGCAAGTTGAGGTTATACGTTTAAGATCCTTGTCATTTACATTTTGCAATTTCGATTTCCTGTTAGTTATATTTCTGCAATTTCGATTTCCTGTTAGTTATATTTTCGCAATTTCGATTTCTTGTCATTTACATTCAATGCAAATTTGAGGTTTCCGTATTTTTACATTTCCCTGCAATTTAATATTCCGCACTACTTTTCGATTCGACGCTTTCTTTACTTCGCATTTCTTAGTAGAAAACACCAAAAATAGTACTTTCGATTTATATATTAGGTGTGTGGTTTACATTTTGAAACCATAGGATTTTCAATTCTCATGCATTTTTTTATTGAAAACCGTTTTGCTAGCCTAAACAAAAAGAAGCTACGTGGTTAAAATTTGGTCAGAACATAAGTCTTTGAGAAGATCGAAATCGATCAAATTTTCACCAGAAACAAATTGGCGCGCCAGATAGGAAATTTGTGTCGAAAAACACAAATAATTGGTTAGTTCGAAAGTGTATGAGATTAAGGAGTGGACGGACATTGAGAATGAGTCAAAATACACCACATAATCAGAATAACAATAAGATTCCAAATAGTTCACATTTGCCAAACACTGGGGGGCAAGTTCACAATGGGAATATGCTCATAATATCGACAAATGTGAGTACGTCGATACCTGTGAGTGCTGAGCAAAGCTCAGGCACATCGGTAAACACGCAGTTAGGGTCTAGCACTGTAATGTCAAACAATATACAAACTACAGGGAATCTCGTAACAACATATGCAGGACCGTGTATGAGTGTAAGGCCGCCTGGCTTTTCGATTAATAATATGAATGAGGCTGGTACTTCTTCAATACAACGAAGTACGAGATTTAACCTAGGAATGCCCCAAAACTTAGGCACATTTCAAACCTTAGGCATGCCTCAAAATTTTGGAGTATCTCCAAATTTAGGAGTGTCTCAAAATTTAGTAACACCCCAGAGTTCAGGGAACGGGCAGAATTTAGGAACGCAACAAATGCCTTCGGTGTCAAACCTAGATCACAGGGCAAACCCAGATCACGGGAGATACCTACTCGATAGAGATTATCATCGATCCAATTTTGAGACTATCGAAAATGCTAGTACTGGAATTTCCAGTAACTCATTAGGAGTACTTCGACAACAAATGGACGAAAGCAATTTCGAGATGGTTAACATGTTATCACAACAGTTGACTACAGTATTAAATCCATTAGTGCAAAACACTACCACTAGTTTTGAAATACTAGCAGACCAAATGTCGCGTATCGGGGATGCATTGGTGATACCCCGACAAACAAGGGTCGAAAATAATGTCAATCAGAATGTTAGCCAAAACGCTAATATTAATCCCCTTTATTTATTAAGGAGAAATCGAAACAATGATCAATATCAGCATGTGAGGAATGATACTTACGGAAATTTAAATGAGGGATGTCAGAATATGTATAATCAAAATAACATGCAGTACAATCACCTGATGGGGTAAAGAATGAACCCTCAAGGAGTGGAATTAAGACCACCTCATCAACCATACTTTGTTTCTCCTTTTCCAAATATGGTTCTCGAGACAGAATTACCTCGAGGATACAAAATACCCAAATTTACCGGAGAAATTGGCGAATCCACTATCGAGCATGTGGCGCGATACCAAATCGAATGTGGAGACCTAGCGATGAGCGAGGAATTAAAAATGAAATATTTTCCCAGTTCATTAACAAAGAATGCTTTCACTTGGTTTACGTCGCTGCCACCGAATTCAATTCACAATTGGATGCAACTGGAAAGAAATTTTCATGAGCAATTCTTTAGGGGAGAAACTTAAGTAAGTCTTATCGATTTAATGAATATAAAGAGATACAATCATGAAAGCATAGATGATTATTTGAATAGATTTAGACAAATGAAATCGAGATGTTTTACTCAAATTCCTGAATTCGAGTTAGTCAAAATGGCCTCCGCAGGCTTAGAATTCTCAATTAGGAAAAAGTTAGTTAATTTACCTTTGAATGATATGGCTCAGTTAGCTGATATAGTGAGAAGAGTGGAACAAATCGAATATGAGAAACAAAGGTACAAAAAAATTGAGAAACCCATGAAGAAAGATAAGGTAGCATATATAAATGATATATATGAGGAAAATCCCAGGATAGAAGGAGATATTGAAGAATCTGTCGATGAGAAAGTAAATATAGCAGAGCTCAAAGTAGGAGCCCCATATATTTGTAAACTGCTACAGAAAAATGAAGTGAAAGACAAAATGGCAAATCGCACATATACTTTCGATGTAACAAAGGCAGATAAAATCTTCGATATTCTATTGAAAGAAAAACAGATTAGGCTGCGTGATGATCATAAATTACCTTCTGCAGAGCAAAGAAATGGTCGAAAATATTGCAAATTTCATAATGTATATGGACATTGGACTAATAATTGTATACATTTCAAGAACACGATCCAAGATGCGATCGACCAAGGAAGACTGAAGTTTGAGGAGATGTCAATGAAAATGGATACAAGTCCTTTCGAAGTTCAAGTAGGGTATGTCGAGTCCCAAACGGGCACGACTGAAGATGTCCGATCGATGAATTC